AAAGTAAAACAGAAGGAACAAAACAGCAATAACTCATAGATACTGAGAAGTAACTAGCAGTTACCATGGGGGAGGTGTTAGGGTGGGTGGGTGGGGAGGGGGATAAAGAGGCACAAAAATTCTCTATCATAATATAAGTTGGTCATGGGGATGGTAGTATAGCACTGTTGACCCACTTTGTCTGTTTGAAACCAATGTAAGATTGTGTATCAATGATACTTAAATTTAAAAGTATGAAAACTTCTCATTCATAGTAGTGGGAAAAGGGGAGGTTTGCCATGTTGAAAAGCCCATAGCTTGTTCCTTCATGGTGATCATTCATTTTCTTCTTAAAGCTGTAAACTTCATTTGTGATCATCCGGATATCAAAGCAATCAGCTTTGTGGGATCTAACCAGGCAGGAGAGTACATCTTCGAAAGAGGGTCAAGACATGGCAAGAGAGTTCAAGCCAACATGGTGACTTCTTATTCCTTTTCCCCCCAAGTTCTGCTGTATGTATTGAAATAGCCTACAAAGAGCCCTTCAGCTGGCCAATATGTCTTATTTCCATTTCATCCTGAATGTCCTCCTTTTAACCATGAACCTTGTGATGAGTTTTATTCTAAGTCACTTACATTACCTTTTGCCTTACAAAACTAATCTTGGTAACAAAAGACAAATTTCTCCCTAGGAGTGTTACTCAAATTCTTTGGGCTTTAGCAGTAACAGCTGAATTATGGTTCCAGCCCTTTTTTTTCCTTGTATCATGCTTTTCTAGCCTTTTGTCCTTCCTTCTTTTAAGGCATGTCCTAACTACGAGATATCTTCCCTAAGTGCCCAGGCTATCCAAAGCATTGGAAAGAGCCAGTTATCCCTGTATGTGAGTGTGGTGTACTTGGTTGCATAGTTTTGCTGTTCTCTTTCTAGCTCCTTGCCAAATAATTAGCAATTCTGTGGTGCTAAAATATAAAGTCCAGTTTTTACTTTCTTCCCTTTGGCTGATGTTGCAGAAAGGATAACCATCTATGCACAGGCTTGAGAACTGTTCATGATATGCCCACTTTTTTTCATGGCTGAATGTTTTAGCCAATTTGACCTTAGCCTCTCCAGTTTACTACATATTTATTGAATGTATTCTGTGTCTAAGCAGTATACCATGTGTAATGGCATAAAATTAAGTAGCAGACATGGCATCTATCAATGCAGTCAACTATAATTATATAGTATCCCCTCTTAATCTGGGGTGGTTGTGTTCTAAGACCCCCCCCAGTAGATGCCTGAAACTGGATAGTACTGAACCCTGTTATATGTAAATATGTTTTTTTCTATACATTCAGACCTATGATAAAGTTTAATTTATAAATTAGACATAGTAAGAGATTAATAACTATAATAAAATAGAATTATAAAAATACACTGTAATGAAAGCTATGTGAATGTGGTTCCCTCTCCCCCTCAAAGTATCATACTGTACTCACCCTTCTTGTAAGGATGTAAGATGATAAAATTTGTACCTTATGAGATGAAGTGAGATGAATGACACAGGCATTGTGACTTGGTGTTAGGCTACTATTGACTTTCTGACAACAGTACATTAGGAGGAGGATCATCTGCTTTTGGACTGTGTTTGTGGGTAACTGAAACCACAGAAAGTGAAACTGTGGATAAGGGGGAACTCCTGTATCTGTAAACAGTTGTGTGGAAGTGACTATAAGTTATCCTACATTGAAAATAAATTTATGAGTCAGTGTATCTGAAGCAAGCCAGTTTGGGGAACCTCATTCCAGAAATTGGGTGTCAGGAGGGCTACCTCCTATTATGCCTTTCGGCTAGCTACTGGCATTATTACTAGCAGCTTTTCCTGTAAAGGAAGCCCCAGCAGACAACAGATTTCTTCCTATGTAACTTAAGAGAAGGGAGATCTCCTTGGTTCCTGGATGCAATATTTATAGCCTGTCAGTTTGACTGAATGTGACTGGGGCTTTTTCATCTTCCTTTTTTTTTTTTGGTAATGATTTTGATCTAAGTAAACACATATTGGCTTATCAGCTGAGACAGTGGAAAAAACAGTAACCTGGAGATTTGCTCTATGTTACCAAGACTTTAGCAGTACCAAAATAACTGATAGAATCTGGACCTGAAAACCACCTTTTGAATAAGCCCACCCACCATCTCAGAGAGACCTAGGTGTCATCTTACTTAGGCTTCAAGCATCCTCCAGAGGACACGTCAGCAAGCCACAAGCCCACTTTTCCCGACCCCTCCCCTCAAAGAGCCCACCAGAAACCCTGGCCATGAAAAGCCTCTTGACCTGTTAGAGACCCTCTTTTTCCTTTGTTCTGCTGGCCAGGACAGAGGGGTCCCTCTCAGGTTTAGCAATAAATCTGCTTGGACTGTTGAGTTCGCATCCCCTCTCTTCTTTCAATAATAAATCTATCCTCAAAGCTATAAAAGATAAATTCTGTAGTTCTCCTTAAATTCTCATTTGAAATCTCAGATTCTTTGCTTAATTTCTTAGCCTAATTACATTTTGCCAAAGATTTCTTGTACTTTATTTCCTTAGGGAGCCAAGAACCATGGGGTAGTCATGCCAGATGCCAATAAGGAAAATACCCTGAACCAGCTGGTTGGGGCAGCATTTGGAGCTGCTGGTCAGCGCTGCATGGCTCTTTCAACAGCAATCCTTGTGGGAGAAGCTAAGAAGTGGCTGCCAGAGCTGGTGGAGCGGGCCAAAAACCTGAGAGTCAATGCAGGTAAACTTATCTGCCTTGTTCCTCTAGACTTGGCATCTATGACACTAAGCTCTAGGTTTCAGCCTTGGCCTTGGCCAATAGGAGTAATCACATCTATTCTTAACATTGCCTCTTTATACTTTACTTGTCATTTGGATTAATCTTTCGTTAACAATCGCAATTTATGTTAACAAAAACCCTAAATACTTATGTATTGTTTTACAGGAGACCAGCCTGGAGCTGATCTTGGTCCTCTAATCAGCCCCCAGGCAAAAGAAAGAGTCTGTAATCTGATTGATAGTGGAACAAAAGAGGGAGCTTCAGTCCTTCTTGATGGTCGAAAAATTAAAGTCAAAGGCTATGAAAATGGCAACTTTGTTGGACCAACCATCATCTCAAATGTCAAGGTGAACAACTCTGGATTCTTTGCTTCAAGCGACGTAGAGGCTATGGAATCTCATCCCTCCAATTTATAAATGAAGACCTTTAACAACTAGAGATCTTATCTCATGCCAGGATTACTCACTTATTTTATCCAGAGTCTGAGTGAGCTTCCCTTCCTGATACCTACCTCTCTGCTATAGGGGTGGTTGGCAAATTTCCACAAAGGGAAATATTTTCAGCTTTGCAGGGATAGATATATGGTCTCTGTCACAACTATTCAACTAAACTGACATTTTAGTGTCAAAGCAGCCATTAACATTGTATGGCTGTGTTCCAGTAAAACTTTATGGACAATGGAATTTTTATTTTCAAGTAATTTTACACATCGTGATTGATTTTTTTTTTTTTTTTAGCCACTTATATAGAATCCATTTTTAGCTTGCGGACTGTACAAAAACAGGCAGCAAGCCACATTCAGCTCACATGTATTTTTCCAACCCCTATCTTCTACTTGTTTCTTATTTAATGTTAATTTTTTTCCTATTCTGGCTGCCTAGCTTATACTATTGCAGTGTCTTCATCAACATATCAACCAATATTTATTACTTACTATGTGCCCAAAATTTACCTCCCTCTTCACCAGTGACAAAAGAAAAAGAGTTGATCTGTCAATTTGTATTTATCAAAACTTTGCAAGTCTCTCAGCTAAAACTGATGATTAAATTGAAGTTAGGAGGCTTTTTTTGAAATACATATATCCCCACTAATCCTCCAGTAATCCTGAATAATCAAGAGTTGAATGTCAGTATAGTAGAAACTATGAAATCTCTTACCACAGAACAGAGGAAAAATTCACTTATCAGCAACAAATGGTAGCTAACTAGCTACCGTGTTGAAGGATGATTTGAATGTTTAATGTGACCTGATACCGAAATATAAGTATATAGACACATTTGGAAGGCAAAGGAGTGAATGAGAATGAATTGTTTATGTTACAGAAAACTTAGCACAGGTTTTCTTTAAATGGAGAAACTCTCATGTTGCATTTTTTATATGTGCTTTATAAAAAATGAATTTTCATGTAACTTCAGTAGCATAACTGTATAAACAAATTATACAGATATAAAAAAGGAAGCTAGTGATAGGTCATGGGACCTAAAAATACAGTGCTTAAAAGAAAGGAGTCTGGGCATAGTTAATAGGAATTCCAAATTGTTTATATGATAGCTTGGAAGATGTAACACAGCAAGAAAGGACTTGAAATGAAAAGAGATTACTAACATGAAAGCTATCCATGTAAACAGTGGGTATTAAAGTACCAAATAAACATAAAATATTGACTTCTTTTCTGAATGCATCACTCCTGGCAGCCAAATATGACCTGTTACAAAGAAGAGATTTTTGGCCCAGTTCTTGTGGTTCTGGAGGCAGACACTTTGGATGAAGCCATCAAGATTGTAAATAACAACCCATATGGAAACGGAACTGCCATTTTCACCACCAATGGAGCCACTGCTCGGAAATATTCCCACCTGGTGGATATTGGGCAGGTTTGTGAACTAAATTTCTAGGAGATTCTTGCAGCCATTTACTGTCTCCTGTTTAAGGGGAGATAGTAAACAGGATCTGTCACTACCCCTCTGGTCTCCCACAGTGCCCCATTTCTTGCTCAGGAATCAAAGTTCATAGGATGGAGGATGAGATGGAAGGTAGATATTTAAAATTGGTTTATCTGATGCCAAACATTTGTGCTTCTAAATGGAGAGTTCCTTTGAGTCCTTTCTTATTAGTTGACGTGGATTTGTTCTGCTTTAGGTGGGGGTGAATGTCCCCATTCCAGTGCCTTTGCCAATGTTCTCATTCACTGGCTCTCGATCTTCCTTCAGGGGAGACACCAACTTCTATGGCAAACAGGTAACTTAAGTTTAAAAGTTTTTTCTTCTAAGAAACTTTGTTGAACATATTCAGGAACAAGGATTCTGCAAGGAATGGCCTGCCAGCAGCTTCTGCAGGGTCACATATTGTTCAGCAGTGCTTGTCAGTACGTCCCCTAGGAAAGATTTAAAAGGTGATAAAAATTTACAAAGCTCCTTCTTTCTGAATAACTCAAAGCAACATAGTTTTGAGGGAAGAGCATGAGGAAGTCTAAGCCTTTGGTTGTGCCCTTTCCTCTGCCTATTTACCTCTTCCTGACTACTCCCTTTCATCTAAATCTTAATCGTCTCTCATGTCCTAGTTGACATCATGGACTCCTCCAGTAAATCACCTCTGACCATCACCCCCTTCTTATCCAAGCTGGGTATGCCCTCAAGCTCCCACTGCACATATTTCTCCTGTAATAGTTTCTCACTTACAGGAAATTTTTTTGAGCACCTTCTTATATCAAACCCTTGTACTTCTAGGCACTATAAATATAGCACTCAACAAGAAAAATAAAGCAGATGTGGAACCAAATGCCTGAGTTCAAATCCAGCTTGGCTAGTTGTTAACTGTGTGATCTTGAGGAATACCCTCTCTCTGTCTCAAATTTCTTATCTGTAAAATGAAGATAATAATAATAGTATCTATATTTCATAAGGGTAGGAGGATTAGATTGCCACTATTACTACATCCTTCATCAGGAGGTGTATGTCCTAAGGCAGGAATAGGTCTGGCATGTTCAAACAGCAGAAACTGGCTGGAGCACAGTGAGTGAATGAGGAGGAATGTGGTAAGAGATGAAATTAGGAGGTAAGCGTAGGCAAGTCATGTAGGGCTCTTTAAGCCAAGCTAAGATGCCCTCATTACATTGTAATTACTATTCTACTTATCTGTAGTACCTGGCACAGAGCCTGAATATGTATTGAACAAATATACTAATTGAAGTTCTTTGTCATTCCATAAAAATAGACATTTGGAAGCTTCAGGAATAAATTGCATGTTTTCTATACCAGTCTTCCTTTTATAAGTTAATAAAAAATTAACAGTGGGATTGCATAGCAGAATATGAATAGCCAAGTGGTTGTGAAAACACTTTGGTTATTTGAAGGCTAGTTATCCAATTTATGCATCAGTCACACCTTTTGCAAAATTTACTAGTTTGCTGCCATTAAAAATTTCTTTCAAGAGAAGCAGAATAAAACTATTACTTAAAGTAGTTTTGGGGTTTTTGTTTCTTTTGTCCTTTTTTCTTCCATCTTGATTTAATTACTCTAAATCTGGTAAGTGAGGCTTCTTGGAGGAAAAGACACCTCATACACAGTTGGAAGTCTTACTTAGGTAATCAAATTGCTATTTTGCAAGAAGACATAAAAGTATTCTTAAATAATAAAATGTAAATTTTAGTTGTATCTACATTGAAAGTATGTAATAATCTCTAAAGTTGTTTTCAATATATTAAAATGGCCCAAATTTTGTCAAATAATTCTAGAAGAGTATTGTAATCAATCTAGTGTTTTTTTTTCTAACAATATCTTTCTAGCTTGCTAGTAATTTTGTAAATATTAGATCTGCACAGTCTATTCTCTTTTGCTCAAGTCTATTCTTATAAAATAAATTATGTATATATAAAGCCTTAAATATGCCCAATTTTTTTGGCTCACATGTTACAGCTGATTTAGAAGTGAATGTGTATAATACCAGAAATTTTACTTTACATTTGTAAGGTATGTGGATTTTCCTATTTCAGTATAGAGCTGTTTATCACTGACAATTGTCAGAAATGGCCTAGTATATATATTTCATTCCTTCATTCCTTTTTCTTCATGGGAAGGAGAGAAAAAATAACAGTTATTGAATAGCAGTTACTTTGTTGGGATGTTCTGATGTCATTTCATTTTCCTCTCACAGCATTGCTATGAAGTGGACATTAGGTCACAGATAAGGTCCAAGGTTAAATGGCAGTCAGTAAGGAATAGAGGCAGGATTTGAGCCATGTCCTAAGATCTCAGAGCACATAATATTCAGCTCTAGGAACAGAATGCCCTCCTTGCAAGTTTAACAGATTACATTGTTGCTTTTTTTCCATTTAGATCCTCTTGACTAAATTCAGCATAATGAATGCTAAGGTTTGACCACTTATTGTGTGCCAGGTATTATGCTAAATGTTTTTTTACATAGATCTCATGAACAGTATATTGGATTTGGGTGTACCTATTCCTCAAGTAGGAATACAAGTAGCATTTCACAGTACCTCCTTCAGAGGAACCATGAAATGCCTAGGAATATATGCTAACTTACTCTCTTTTTTTCCCCTTTTGTTCTCTTTAGGGCATCCAATTCTACACTCAGCTAAAGACCATCACGTCTCAGTGGAAAGAAGAAGATGCTACTCTTTCCTCACCTGCTGTAGTCATGCCTACCATGGGCCGTTAGAAACAAGTTTGTTTCAGACTCAGTCCATCTGGAGTAATACCTGTTATTCTTGAGCAACTTCATTTGCCAAATTTGCTCAGATCAGATCCCTGGGATTGGAATACCTTTTAACTAAAGTCTTTCTCAGGACCACTGTCCCTGCATAGTTGCCATAGGGAGACTCCTAGTGTAACTCAGAAATCTGATTTTCACTTATTTTTCATACTTGTTTTTGAGGTAACTTGTAATTATGAAATGCTTATCTGGAATGAGAGCTCAGCCCTGTTTTCTATAAATTCTCTCATTTTCTGGTGATTTGAAGTAAAAGAAAATTAGTATATGTAAAGATGATCTTCTAGTAACTGGAAGAGGACTTTTTGGATGGGGAAATAGGACAGAAATAATTCACTATTTGGTTGATCCTCAAACACAGCCCTACGTTAACAGCAGTGGGGGGACCCTTCTGCCAAGCTCTCCTGAGCCTCTTGTTTATCTCACACTACAGAAGATATAATCCATTTCCACTTATCCCAAAGTTGTGACAATTGCTTCTTTCTTTTCCACTGAATGCCACTTTGTCCTAGTGATTCATGACCACTAGATCCTGTCACTGTCACTGTTCCTGCTTCTTAAAATCACTTCTCAAGGTACCTCAGTATGCAATTGATAGGTCAACTTTTTGTTGTGTGTGCCAAGTGTTAAGTTTCAAGGCTTGCTTCAACAATCATTAAGGAATGCTTCAGCCATTAATTCAGATGCAAACGGCTTTTTTTTTTAAAACTATTGCAAAGTTATTTTAGGCCTAGAAATCAAGGGGTGTTCCAGCCATGAAAATGGGCAAGACTTTGCCTCAAGCAACTCTACCCTGATATTACTTGCTGAATTTCCTCTTGCCTGTATTTCTTAATAGTGATACTTTTTAATGAAAGAATCCTTAATGTAGAGTAATTGATTAGGGCCTAAGAAACTTCAAAGCTTTTCATGATGTGAAGTAGTAAAAACAAAATGCTTTGACAGATTCTTCTGCTTCCATCAATTCAACTTTCTTTATTTCTTTGAGTCAGAACAGTAATTGATGTGCTAAAGAGCATAGTCTTTTTGCTCTACCATCGCAAGTGAATTTTCTTTTCTGATAAAGTTTTCTCCCAGTGAAGCAGAAGAGGACTGCTGACTCTGATAATCTCTGGTTCTCAAGCCAGATGACATGGGTCATTTATTTTTCTGCTTCTTCATTGGTCACTTGGATAACGCTAACCTACTCCATAGGGGTTATTCAGTGAATTAAGGATAGTGAAAACCTTGACAGTTTGTGGACTCTGGATTTGGGTTTATTACTACCACCTTTTCAATCACTTAAGGTGACTGGAACTTTAATAAAACCATTTATGACTCCACTGAGACCTTTTTTTTGCTTCCTAAAGGTGAGGCAATAGAAATGTATAATTTGATAATAGAATGCCCCATGCTTTGTTTATTATCACAGCTGGCAACTGATAGTGATATTTAATCCAATCTAACACCTATAGGCTGGGTTGAATAAAAGGTCATATTGTCTAAATTCCAAGTGGAATTAAATATAATCAAGAGATTCCTAAGTTTTTCTTACATTTAAGGGAAACCATTTTTTAAAAAAATACTGACTAATCAAAGTTGTGTTGCTTTAATTAGAATCGTCTCATTTGGCTAGCTTAATCAGAGAAGTTTCTTGTTAAGTGGGAAGAAATCTGTATAATTATGTTCATGCTATAGCAGTTAGAAAAAGTTCACTATTTTATTTTCTTTTTGCTCTGATGCGGCCTCGTTTGAAGATTCTCAGATTCTACATTGTACTTAATTGATTATGATAAACAGATTACAAATAAATAGCTCTTAAAAAGAAAACCTGGCTTTTCTGTATGGTGCTGTACTTCCCTATAATGCCTTTCTCCCTAGCTTGTAGTGACTCAGACTCCCACCCCTGTTCAAAGCCAAGAATTATATGGTCATTGTGTTTATTCTCACATAAAAGAGCACATGTTGAAGATTCAAGATGGAGGCATGCGACGTGAGATGGAGAACTCTTCCCCAAACCACATATAGTACAAAAATATAGTTAATACAACTAACCCTGGAACAGCAACAGGAGGGAAGGCTGCACCAGACTGCATACAGACCTCAGGAACAGCAGACCTCACGAAACAGGGTAATGTATGAAAGCCTTGATCTGGTGGGACTCAAGGCCTTCCCCTACCTCACCTCACCAGCAGGAAGAAGAGAAATGAAGTGGGGAGGGGGTGGAAGCCTAAGACTGCTGAACACCCAGCCCTGGAGGTCTGCTTTGGAACAAAGACATAACAT